CCCCCAACAGTATGGAGTTCGTATAGGCCCAGGTCATCACTGCTATATATAGCCTTTGTGAGCCGTCGCACTGGATAAGATCATCATTGTAAATCCCTAACATTTGTAACCTCTCCAAATATAGTGAAGTTTCCCTCATAGGCGCCCGTGGTTTCCCCCCTTCTCATTGGAGGAGTTTTCCACGTTAAAATCCTTGTGTTCCTGTGTTGATTTGATCTTCTTTGTTTTTTTGTTTGTCCTATCTCTAACAGGTTCATCAGTTTGTAACGTATCAGTTTACAGTTGTAAGAAATAATGTAAATTTTTTTTGGGACGCCGCTAAGCATGAGATTACTGATAATCTGCATCATATCAGACTGGTCGTAGGATGTTGGATTAAAAACAAGATGAAGGTCCGATTTGCTAGTCTATATATATACCCCTACTAATAGAGGAAGGTGACATCCTTGGCCTACAAGCACACATGAGAGCGAGGGAGGTTAAGGAAAAAGGTCGGGGTCTCACAACGATCTCGAAGGTCTAGTCAGCGAGCTCGAGGACGCTCTGTAGCCAGCGAATCAACAAGTGGCCTCCGAAGCCCGTGGACAAGGAAGAAGGTTATGGGTGTTGTCTTGAGGGCATCTCGGCTCGAATTAGTCGCTGAAGACGTAGAGGAAGCCGAGGCAGAGTTGTTGGACAAGCTCGCTGAGCGAAGTGACGATGATGGCTATGCAGGCGATGGCGGCGCAACCATGCCGCTCTTGGGTGCGAGATGGGTAGCAAGGGAGAGGAGGGGAAAGTGAGCGAGAGTGGGAGGGTGATAACCCACAATTTTTTTGTTTTCCATGCAACATTCCCCAACAGTTGTACCAGAGCTAGGTCTATGCGCAGATGATATGCATGAGTATAACACAAAGGAGTTGTGGTCGGTGATGTTCATACTACTTACCACCAACGTCTTATTTTGATTCGGCAGTATTGTGGGATGAAGTGTCCCGAACCAACCTTACATGTCCATGCCCAGGATCCGAGGCTGGCCTGGCGACCTTGTCCCCCGGAGGTTGGGTACCCCTGGGGTATCGCACCGTAAGTAGCCCCCAAGCACATCTAGAGTTGGAGTCCTTGTCTTTGGCAATGAGAACCTAGGCGGGCTCCATCTGTTTTACTGATAGTTTTGGCCTGTCTTCATGAGTCCTACCTTAGAAATACTCAGATTCGCCAGGCGTGTGGCCTCCTGGGCGCCCTCAGCGTATTGTTCCATTAGTGGCATGTCTGTATCAGGTTTGATGTTGAACTGAATGCGTCATCTTTGGACTGCTTGGCAAGGTCTTGAGGGAGTCCTTGAATGAAGAAAGATCTTGTGCCAGTCCCCCTGAAGAAGTCAGAGGTGACACAGTCTGTCAGGCTTGTTGCCCCTTGGAGGCAGTCAAGGACGACCGTGCAAGGCAAGCAGGGTGTCCGACCTCCCATCTTCTTTGTTGTTGGAGACCTCCGGCTTCAAAGGTCTTCGAGCCTGCTGGGCATGCGACCTCCTTGAAGATTTCCGAGATGACATGATGCATCGGGGGATGAGGCCAGCAAGAGTAGGCCAACAGTGACTCTTGCAGCGAAGAAGGTCCGCCGGATGATGAGGCCAACATGTGGAGGTGATACGTCTCCAACATATCTACACTTTGTGATTGTTCCATGATCTTCTTTGATTGAGCAAAATAATGATTCGTCGATGTGAATTTTGTCTATAAAAATAATTTCAATAACAATGCTAATAGGGGAAATTTCAATCCTAGGCCATTTCCTAGAAATTCCTCTAATAATTATGGCAATTCCTATGGTAATTCATATAATAATAATAGTATGCCCTCTGGTCTTAAAATTAATATTAAAGAATTTATTATTTCTCAAAATATTTTTAATGCTATGATAGAGGAAAAATTGAATAAAGTTGATGATACGGCTAGGAACATGGATAGAATTGCTCATGATGTGGAAAATCGCAAATCTAAAATTTGCCACCCAAGCTTGATATTAATGAGTCCATTAAAGCTGTCTATGTCTCCATTAATGAAAGTAAAGAGCGAACCGCTAGGTTAAGAGCTAAGCGAGAATTCCTGGAAAAAGTGATTCTGCCCAGTTTTATGGTAATCATGATGAAGATATTAAAATGATTGGTGTCTCGCCCATTGAATCTTTATTTAGTTGTATAAAACTTGATGAAAAAGGGACTGAAGATGAGTCAACTTTAGCTAGAAGGCGTCCCAATTTTTCGGAGGGTGATGATCTTAATGATTTTTTTGATAAAAGTGGGTTTGGAGAGGTCAAAACTTTAACTAGTGATGTGACCACTATTTTGGATTTCAAGGATTTTAATTATGACAGTTGTTCTTTAATTGAATGTATTTCCTTATTGAAATCCATGATAATTCTCCCAATGCTTATGAACAAAATAAAGTTTTCACTAAACATATTGTAGAAGTTATGATGAAAGCTTTAGAAGAAAAGCTGGAATTGGAGGTTTCAATACCTAGGAAATTATATGATGAATGGGAAACTACTACTAAAATAAAGATTAAAAATTATGTGTGCAATGCTTTATGTGATTTGGGTGCTAGCGTTTCCACTATACCAAAATCTTTATGTGATGTGCTAGGCCATAATGATTTGGATGAATGTTCCCTTAATTTGCACTTAGCGGATTCCACTACTAAGAAACCTTTTGGTAGAATAAACAATGTGCTTATTCTTGCAAACAGAAATTATGTGCCCAATGATTTCATTGTGCTTGATATTGATTGCAATTCGTATTGTCCTCTAATACTTGGTAGGCCTTTCCTACATACCATAGGTGTTATTATTGATATGAAAAAAGGTAATATAAGGTTCCAATTTCCATTAAAGAAAGGAATGGAACACTTCCCTAGAAAGAGA